CCAGGAGAGGAAGCTCCTGAGACTCGGCCAGAGAGGCCCAAAAGGGTCCCCCTCCACCCTCGGAAAACTCCCTCCATCGCACCTCCGGCCTGACCAATCCCGGCAAGATTCCTCAGACCCGCCAGGCCACCCTGGGCTGGGGCGGCCCCTCAGGACCCTGTGAGGGCAGAGCAGGTGGGCAGCGGGGGGGGCTGCAGAGGCTGGGAAGCCGGTGGTGCTTTCATGGCTGCGGTGTTGCTCCCAGAGCCCCGCGTGGGTGGGTCTGCTCCTCGGCCTGACAGAACCAGACGACTGCCCTGCCTGTCCCCTGAAGACAGGGCGTCAAACCAAGGACCCAGCTGGACGCTGGCGGGCAAGGTGGCCCCAGGAAGAGCAGGGTGCGCCCAGGTGTCCTTCTCTTTCCCAGGACGCCCACGAAGGGAAGGACGGCCGGTCCGAGCCCGGTCACCTCACCCCGCCGCCATGTAGCCATCGTTCTGTCGGAGTATTGCCTGTCCACTCTGTGCCAGGCACAGCTGGAGGCGGGTCCACTGGCAGGAGGGGCGCACCGTCCTTGCGATCGGAGTACCCTGTGAGCTCCGGTGGTCTGGGTGCCCACAGACCTCCCTGAGCGCCGACGCTTCCGGCCTGGGGAGCCGCAGCTTCGCGAGGTGGGAACCGAGGCTTGGTTCCAGCCACCCCACCCTCAGGTCACTCCCAGGAGACGAGGCCGGGCTCTGAGGCAGGAGGCGGAGGCGGCGGTGCCCATCTCAGGGAGGAAGTGAAACAGGGTCGGGTTCTGGCCCGAAGCGCATGGGAGGGCAGAGGCGCAGGGGGCGGTGTCGGGACCGTGGGCGGCCTACCTGGAGGCTCAGCCTCAGGTCCGGTTCTCCAGGGCAAACACCCAGGATTCTCCCAGTAGATTCCTTTTTCTTTTCTTTTCCTTGTTTTATGAAGTGCTTGTCTTATTACACACAACTAGTGTTGAATGTTGTAAGTGAAACACAGACATGTCTGTTGTGATTTTCCATGCATGTATTTGAATGCCTATAAAGTTGTATATTTTTTCATGGATTTATTTATCGTCAGTTTTTAATTCCAAGGATTGATTATTCATGTTCTTTGCCTATTTTTCTGTTGGAGGGCCAAGGAATTTTTCTGAATTGAATTCAATAATGTTAAAGATTTTGAAAAGAAAAATACTAGTATATTCCCTTGGCCTACTACAAGTTTCTACTCTTCTTCTTTAGGACAATCTGTAGAGGATGACTTAAACACACATGTCTGAAATGGAGATGTTTGATAGATGTGATTTATTTAGCACGTCATTACTTGAGAGGACCCGCTGTTGTACAGATACCCTATAGAAATATTAAACCAGGATGGCAGATCACATGTTCTCCCAAAGAATACAATGTTTAGCTTGAATTGGCCTTTTATATCCTCACTGGAAGCCTGGTGCATGAAATTTGTGCGCATGTATGGTCCCTAGGCCTGGCCTGCGATCAGGGCCATCCTCCACAACTGGCCCCGCCCCCCGCCGCCACCCACCCTCGTTTCCCATTAGCCATCAGGTGATCAGTGCCTGGTGGCCGGGGGAAGGGATGAGAGGTCAGCTGTTCCCGCCCCTGCTGCGGGTCACCCTCTGTGTGGGGGGCGACTGGTGGGGTGGGGCCTTGGCCTGGCACCACCCGCATCCCCCGCCACCCACCCCCGGTTCCCTGTTCGCCATCAGGTGATTGGAGTCTGCTGGCCAGGGAAAGGTACTGAGAGGTGGTCAATGTGCCTCATAGTGACTGGTTGAGCAGTCATTCTGCTCATTCCGCCGTTATGGTCAATTTGCATATTTCCCTTTTATTATATAGGATAGAGGCCAGGTGCACAGGTAGGGGCCAGCTGGCCTGCCCTGATGGGGGCCCTGGGTTGGGGGGGGGTCCCCGCTGGGAGACGGGGCTGGCCAAGGTGAGGGGCCGCAGTCATTCTGGTCTCTGGTCATTCTGGTCATTCCGCTGTTTCCATTGCTTTTATTATGTAGGATTAGAAATGTTCTTTTTGGAAAAATATATTCACATGTGTAGTCTTTCCCCCTTTTATCTCTCCCCGGCCTCTGACTCCCCTTCACCTCAGGAATAGAGGTCCCTTTTGCTGCTCAGTCAATTGGTCACTTTCATTGCTGATGGCCACAAATTCAACAGCAGCAGCGCTCCCCGTCCTTGGTGAGCATTGCTCAGTCTGAGCTCCCATTTGGGGTGGCCCCTTCCCTGAACTCCCCAAAACCCAGTCCCACTGCTCATGCCTCTTACCTGCTCTTCATATACACATAAGCCCATGTGACTCTCCACTGCCTCCCAACACAC